GCCGGTCGTTGCAGCATGGTGCCAATATCCCTGCACTCTGCCGCTGTGTGTGGTTTTTTGGGACCAACGTCCCATTGCCGGCATTAGGGTTTCATGTAGGGGTGAGGTGTCCGGGAGTTGCAGGCTGTATCCCACTCTGCCGATTGCGAGTAGGTCGTCCAGGCTGTAGGCTGGCGTTGCGCGGTAGGCCCCAGACCTGCATTTTATTTTTGCCTGCCTGGGCAGCTGGAAGAACGGCATCGACGGATGCAGGGACTCTCTGTGAGGTCAGCCGGGTTGTGTCGCTTGATGGAGTAGGATGCCAGCGATTTTCGATGGGTTTCAAGCAAGTTGCGGGGAGCTGGCTGAGATCATCAGGCTTTGTTTTTACTGCCTTTACTGTCAATTTCCTACTGACTGGTTCAGTTCAACGCAAGTATCTTCTTGTGTGCAAATGAGATATTCTTAACGGGTTACTTTTAACAGACACTGTTTCAATCATATATATATATATATATATATATATATATTTTTTTTTTTTTTATTTGTATTGTATGTATTGGGTCTGCTGTGTACTATAGTGATTTCTGCCACCCAGGAGTAATGGGAGTTTGAGCACAGGGTTGAATTTTGTATGTTTGTATTTGCTTTTGTATTATACAGTCATGTTACAATGCTGCCACCCACCTATGTGTTCCCTATTAAGGGTTAATAAGTGTGTAGGGGTTTAGAAAAATACCCCTCTCTGTATCATTAGAGATTTTACTTTTTAGCAAAAGCAAGGTGAATTGTTAGTGTAGGGCTCACCTAAGAGGTTTTGATGTGGCAGGTGACCTTACACTTTAATGGTCAGTGGAGTGATACTAAAAAAAATGAACTTACCTTTCTTTACTCAATTCCTCTTCTCTCCCTCTGTCAGGATCTGTTCTTCATTTTTTCCTGTCTGCTCTAGTTTTCTTTAAAACAAGAGGCAAAGTATGGACTACTTTGTCTTATGGAGGTTTCCTACGCTTGACCAACGGAGGAGCTAGATATGCCCCTACTCACGGTGTAAAGGGGCAGAATGTACTATTTTAGATCAATTTAGGTCTTTCAGCCTTTTGGTAGATCGCTCCCTGATACCGTGGGAATTACAGAGCTATATACTAAGCGGCTACAAGATGCAGCAACGGTACGAATAGGATTGGAGTTTCATTAATTCTCAGTTTCCAAACAAAGTCCTGAATTGCATCCTAACACAAATGGAGAAACTGTTCTCATTCTGTTAGAACGAAATTCGGTAGTTTCGCCGTTGTTCTGTCTAAGTGACAGGACGTTCGGGAATACTGACAAGCATCGGAAGATCACGGATCAAAGGTGAGAATTGTGCGAAAATTGCTTTGATCACCGCAAACAAAGAACACTTTGCTCCTCCACTGGTCAAAGCTGATCAAGTGTAGGAAACCTCCATAAGATGAAGTAGTCACTACTTTGTCTTATGTTTTAAAGAAAACTAGAGCAGACAGGAAGAAATAAAGAACAGATCCTGACAGATGGAGAGAAGAGAAAGCGATTAAAGAAGGGTAAAGGATCACTATAGTGTCAGGAAAACAAATCGGTTTTCCTGACACTATAGTACCCTAAAGGTGCCCCCACCCTCAGGGTTCCCCTCTCGTGGTGCTCACTCACTCACCTTCTTCCACCGCTGGTCTCCCTTACCTCTCCTCCGCCGACGTCAGCTCCCCCGTCTGACGTCAGCGGAGCGAAATGTGTATGCGCGGCAGTGCTGCGCACGCATTCAAAGTGTCCATAGGAAAGCTTTTTTAAATGCTGGAGGCATAATATGCCTCCAGCGTCGCAGATGCGTCTCTAGTGGCTGTCCGAAAGACAGCCACTAAAGGCTGACTTAACCTCAAATGTAAACATAGCAGTTTCTCTGAAACTGCTATGTTTACAGCAGGCAGGGTTAACGCTAGAGGTACCTGGCACCCAGACCACTTCATTGAGCTGAAGTGGTCTGGGTGACTATAGTCAGTGGTGTATCCTGGTTTTGTGCTGCCCTAGGCAGGACAAAACTCAGGCACCCCCCACACTCACTAGCAGACACCAAATGCCCAGGGCAAATGCCTTGTTAGCCTGGAAAATGCCGCCCAAGACAAATGCCTTGTTTGCCTCGCGGCTAAAACGTCCCTGACTATAGAGTCCCTTAAGTTTGGCATGACAGTGCCACTTTAAATGTGCATAGGGATTTGGCAAGTAACTTTTTTTTTTTCTTTGGTTTTTACTATTTCTATCCTATAGCCTATCATAAAACCATCCTGTGACACCCGGTACAATAAAATTTTAAAGTGCACTCCAAACTAGACAAAGTAATAATACCTTTTCACAAAGGAAAATTGCACCAGTGAAGTAAGTTAGAGATAGTAATACTTTAAATGATGGTCGCTTACATAATAGGTCAAATTTAATGACACTGCAATAATACATATATATACTGTGCAATTTTTGTATAAGTAATTTATATGATGCTAGTGCTGACCTGCATGCAAACAATGTGTGTAGGATCAATGAAAGTGAATTTGTGGATTAGCAGTTTGGCTTTGAAGAGGTGGACTTGCAATACTTTATACAGGCATAGCAAATTTTGCAGTGAGTTTGAAGGCTTTACACCAGGAAATCAACAGTAGATTTAGAAATAAATACACTTTTAGAATTTAACAGTAATTATAATGGGTTTTACATACTAAGGTCTATCCAGACAATGTAAATAAAACTGCAGTAAAAATGTTTAGTTACTCGTATGTTTGCTCCCCCTTTGGGTCAGCTTAATATAGAGCCGATCTGTATCTCCCTGTCTTATTATATATATTAAGATTTTTTTTGTTGTTGCTGGCAAGGTACCAAGGAAGAACGTGGGATATATGCTTGGAAAGAAGTTCATGGGGAGATGTCTGATGACTGCCCAGATATTGGAGATGTTTATGACCTTCCATTTGGTATTGGGACTCGATTTTGCACAGCATCATGGCTCAAATATATCCCTTTCTGTCCAAAGCCCGTAAAGCAAACCTCTGTTGATGCTCAAGAAATTGGGGAAGTTGACAAATACAAAGAGACTGTGCACTGAGTTTTATACAAAGAACATGTAAAGGTCACTAAAGAGTTGTTACAGGGCTCTAAACTGCTAAAGTTTTGTACTTTACTAGAATCATTAGAAGGCTATTCGATCCATCCTACATTGTGCCACAAAACTTGTAAATCCCACTTTCCTATAGGTACAGTTTTTTGTTTTGTTTTTTAAAGCCCACTATGTCAAGTAAATGAATCATGTCTAGATCGATTTTTATTAAGAGGAAAATATTATGGTTAATCCATACTTTATCTCATAAAAGTAAGCTATATAAATACTTTTCACCACTCATTTCCCTTAGAACAAAGTGGTTAAAATATATGGTAAGTGAGAAAGTACAATGAACCTTTGTTACTAAATGTGACCTCTGGAAACCTTCCAGCTATAAGACTTAATATACAACAGATAAATCTGGGCACCCAGGACAAGCTACAGGATCACGACAATACAAAAGGGATGCTTCATTTTGGAGTCCTGCTTTATCAAACTACCTATTTCCTTGCAGGTGCCACAACATAACCAATATTTGTAATTCTGATGTTGGAAATGTGTTTCTTTTTTTACAAGTGTTCACGTTGGTCACCTGTTTTGGAATAAAATGTATCCAAAACTATGTTTTGTTCTAATACTTTTCAATAATCTTATAAATCTTTGAATTTTGTGTGGAGATACAAAAAATTTGAACATGGTGTAGGATAAAACAGAACCCCACAAAATGTATACTTATTGCTAAATAGATTCTTTTTTTTTTCTGCATGCTGCAAGTTTGGAACATAGACACTACTCTTGCACATGAAAAGAATACAATTTCTGATAATAGGCACGGTTCACCTTTAGCAATGCCCACACCTGTTATTGGTGTGTCAGACAAACAACCACTTGGGGCTCCCAACATTTATAGATTAAAATCCTGAGTCTCTTTGATGTCCAGTGTCAGCATACAAAGTGCTGTCTACATCCAGCTCTTATCTATGAGAAGTATTGGATTCAATGCTTCTCAAAGGAAGTCACTTGCCTGGTGGATTTCTGTTCTGTGCTTGTGTGCTATGTCTGCAATGCTTCTCAATGAGAAACATCTGACTGGGCAACAGTCATCAGGATTGATTCAAAGTATCAAGTATCAAGTTGAAGTGAGGACGTCTGTCTCAGTGCTGGAATAGGAAAGGGTAAGTTAAATGGCCTTTTTAATGTTTTATTTTAAAGAGAGGCACTTATCAAAACAACAAATGGAACATATCAAATAAAAAATTAAAAATACATTCATAGGAGTAGTAGCACAAACTGAATAAAATTTCTGAACATATTTACATAGACTTCAAATCTCTGAACTAAATCCACCAGCCAGCAACAGTATACTGAAAGGAACAACTCCAATAAATATCAGCCACGCTTGGACTTACATTTTGAAGTCCTCCTGAGATGAAGATAAAGTGGAGATGAAATATGATCTGATGAATCATTTATGTAAACTGCAAACCTCAATGCTTTTCATTTCAATGGACTTCAGTAGTGTTTATAATGTCCTCTGGTTCTCCAACTTATATTGTTAGAAAAAGAGTTAAGAGAATTGTGTATAGTTGGGAGAAGTATGTATGGGGGTAACCCTAAATGATTAGAAAAGAAAAGACAAGTTCTTAATTTGAAGCACTACAACGTATATACAGTACAGTGCATAGAAAATGGTGTCAGCCGCAAGTGAATCATACGTCATCCAAATAACTGTGTGGAAGAGACTGTAAAATGTAAATACAAATGAGATGCAATAGTATATCTGCTGTATAGCAGAGCGTTTAAAAACAAACCATACTTTGTTAATTCAATTTTACCACATGATTGAAGTTATTAGTCTTGGTAACCTTGTCTTTATTGAAGTCTTAAATTACTGTTTCACTTGCCTTTACTGTATGGGGGTGGGGTTCAATGATAAATCATGTACTATTGAACACTCCACTTGTTCTTGTATTTAAGTAACTCCCCGTTTAATCATTTGGCTTAGCACCTTTACAGTGCCAACATGTGACTTAGCTGTGACTTTAGCTCTATAACCACTGAGTTCCATAAGATCGATTCTCCAAATATAGACATCACTCACGTTGCCGTACTATAATCTATCTGAATTTCTTTACTCCTCCCACTTTCACTTAAGGACATCTGAGTGGTTAGACTCATGAACCAATCACAGGAGAAAGCACTATTTTTAAAGAGACGCAGTACTCTTCTCAGTACCCCCTTGAAGAGCCATTTGTAGGTGAAACGCACGTTGGGGCTCTCTGTGTATGCTGTAGGCAGAGAGGCCTAATAAAATCACAATTAGGCTTTCCCTTGATCAAAGCGTGAGGATTAAGCAACCACGTAGCACACTGTGTAGAATATTGCATATTCTGTATGTTCCTATTCAAATACATATTAAGGTGTGGCTGTCTAATGGGTTAAACAGAACAGATGGGGTTTGCTATTCTGTAACATGAGGTCTCTGGAATTTGCTGTATAAGAGATATGAGGCGGTCTTTATATAGGGAACTTCCTTATATGGCAGGGTCTAAACTAAACATTATGACGTAATTTGGGGTATATAGAGTCAAGGACAAAGGATTACAGTCTCTTCCTGCTACAATCCGTTTGCTCTCCTCTCTGATGTCAAGACGACTCTCTGTAACATCGTTAAGAATTAACATCTGTTAAGTATATTATGTTTCCTGTTGAATGTAGAATAAATACTCATTTTTTATAAAGAACGTCAGATTGAGTATTAGTACTTTTCAATAATATAGACATATATTATTGTGGCGAGCATTTGGCCCAAGACGTATATATATCAATCAACTGAAGACAAGAAGAAATATCTATATATATATATATACATACAAGACTTATTCAACTATAGAAAAACACAGCCAGTTATTACATTGACGAGCCAGCCAGACTGTTTTCTGCTGTTACAAACTTCTATTCAGAGGGGGAGGTGAGCAGAGAGAGCCCGGATATCGAATTACTTTTTGTGTTGAATAGAAGTGTGTGCAGCCAGAAACAGAAAAAAGAACGTGTTAAAAGCTGTGTTAAGAAGACAAAGATTTTCAAATCACAAAGACTGTTCCAAGATTATATTCTACAACAGACAAAAGCATGTGTTATAAAGAAAGCAGCACAAGATACAACGTGAAATCTAGAAGCAAGCACGTGGCAGAGATTGGCAAGCTTCCAGAATTCAGAATTCAAGCCCAGTACTGCGCAGCTGTAAGACTAAAGGCAGACGGTGTCGTGCATTAAAGATCATCTTGTTTGGTGAGTAATAATGGATTTTGTTACTGATATTGCAGAGAAAAGTAAACTTGATTTTGTGTTTGATAGATGCCATACAGATAGTCAATTGTGGGCAAGTTTGTATGAACAATGTAAACAAGCAAATGCAGCTATTGATAATACATTGTTATGTTTAAATAAAACAAAAAAGAAAATTAGAAATGTTTTAAAATTGGTAGAAACCTTTGACACAATGATCCTTGGGACAGGAGTGGCTCCAACAAAATTACAAGTACCAGCACAAGTAAAGGTGCAAGATTTAAAAAGTACACAGACAGACAGTAAAGAGAAATCTGTATGTGTAACAGAAATGAAATGTACTAACTGTGATAGACTACAGGCAAGTATTTATGATTTGGGAGAACAGCTGGATCTTAAATCTGAATTAATTTGTAAACTTAGAACTGAAGCCAAACAGTTGTGTGTGATTACAAGAAGTGATCATAATTTGATACCAGAGCCAGTTGATGTCACAGAAATATCATCCCAGTCTGATTTGCAACGTAGAAAATTGTTAGATAAGGCTGCAAAACTTAAATTAAAAATTCAAGAGCAGCTGATGAAAGTTACCAAAGATATTCCCCCATATAATCCATCAATGGATGCCTTTGGTAATGCAGACATATTTGAGTCTAATTTATCGAAACATAATTTGAATGACGAACAAAGGAACAGATTGTTTAAAATATGGCTGCCAACATACATTGCACGTAGACTGACTCCACCCATAAGTACCCCTAATGACGAAGATGGTGAAATAGTCCATGGGAATGAGCGAGATAGATTGACACAATTAATAAGATTAACAACAGGAAATGAGCATGTGGATATTGAGATTTTAGAAAATTTAAAACCGAATATAAATGAAGATGTCTTCAGTTTCCTTTTAAAATTTGAGCGTGCATACAGATTGGTAATGAGTATTCCTGATGATCAGACACCAAAATCTATGATAAATGCATTTGTAAAGAAATTTAAATATCTTGATCCAATATCAATTGCATGCGCTCTCCAGTGTCAAAATATTGAAGATGCTGCATCATTTCTAGATAGGGTGAGAAGGGAATCCAGACAACAAAATATTAAAAAATCTGTCTGTGCAGTTAGGAGAGAAAGGGGAGAGGACAAACCCAGATACAGAAAGTCCCCTCCTCCCTCGCCTCCTGCAGCTGTTAGAACTCAGACAAAGAGGAGAGAAGCTCCAAGTTTTAATATGCCCCACTCACACTATGAAAGAAACTCGACACATAGTCTGGTCTGTTTCTACTGTAACAAGCCAGGTCATATAAAGAGAAACTGCAGGAGTTATTTTTATGATTTACAATCAAGGGATTATGGCAATTCAAATGGATTTATTCACAATAATCCTAATATAGAAAACACCAGAGATTCACCATATACTCCTCTGATAAGGCAAGTGAGAGAAATTGTAGCTTCCTCAAACACAGGAGACAGACAGGGTGTGATTTCTAACATGTCTAATCAGACTGACCAAATTTTAAATTCACAATGACAATCTAAAGGAATCAGGCCACGTCCACTTGAATTTTTGGCTCCATTAAATTTAGATGGATGTGGTAGGCCATACATTAAATGTTCTTTAAAAGGTTATGACAAGGAATTTCTTGTTGATACAGGTGCTCAGTTAAGTATAACTAGTTTACAACTACCTTTATCACCAAATGTACCTATATGTACAATTGTAGGTTTTGACAGAAGTGGAGGATCTATGGCAACATTAGTAAATAATGTTACTTTAGAAATACCTCAGTGTTTAAAAACAAAAATTGATATCTGGTACTGCAAAAATGTTGATAATATCATAGGCACAGATGTTATGCAAAAAAGAGGTTGGATTGTTGATTTGGGAAACAAAGCTATTTGGAAAGATGCTAAGGGTAGGAAACCAGTGCTATTGGATCCTACTGAATATGGGGAGCTAGGAATTGTTTGTCCAGTAGATGTAGTGTCCACAGAAATGCAATGGCCTAATACTAGGGATAACCTTGAACTTAAAGAGATTGTACAGAGTTATCCAGATTTATGGGCACAAAGTAAAAATGAATGTGGAAGATTTAAAAATGTGCTGATTGACATTCAAGGTTCTGATCCACTCCCACAGAGGCAGTATAGATTACCCCCAGATTCAATTGATTCTATTGCAAGTGTCATTAATGATTTGGAACAGAGAGGAATAATTAGAAAAGCAAATAGTCCATGCAATCATAATTTGTGGCCAATTTTGAAAAAAGAATCGACTTGCTGGAGATTAACAATTGATTTACGTACATTAAATAAATACACACCACCTTCTGCACATGTGGTGGCAGAAACCCCAGATATAATGTCACGATTTACGTCAACGGCTAAGGTATACTCAGTACTAGATGTAAGTAATGGGTTTTTCTCTGTACCACTGAAGCATAGTTGTCAGTATAAGTTTGCTTTTACATTTCAAAATCAGCAATATGTGTTTACTGTGTTACCCCAGGGTTTTCACAGTTCTCCAACATATTTTCATCAGGCATTGGCAAAAGTTTTGTCTAAGTTTTCTAGGCCAGAATGCTTGTTACAATATGTTGATGATATGCTTTTGCAGACTGAAACTGAGGAAGAACACCTGATTCTGTTAAATGAATTATTTTTCCTTTTGCAGGATTCTGGTTTAAAACTGAATACACGCAAAGTAACACTGATGCAACCAGAAGTACAATACTTGGGTGTACACATTGGTCCAGGACACAAGAAGCCAGTGCAGGAAAGAATCAAAACAATTTCTTCTCTTCCTGTACCGACTTCACACAAGGCCTTACGCCAGTTCCTAGGATTAATGAATTTTTCCAGAGAATTCATTGAAGGGTTCGCTGAAAAAGCCAAACCTTTATATGATCTCTTGAAAAATAGTGAATCTTCATTTGGACCATGGACAGATGAACATCAGAATGCATTTGAGGTACTTAAAAGAGACTTACAGGTTGCACCTGCTTTAGCGACAATACATCCAACTGCATCTTTTGCAATTCAAGTACATACTTCAGAGACGGCTGTCTCCGCAGTACTATTACAATTGCAGCAAGAGATATGGAGAATAGTGGGATATTTTTCTAAAATTCTTTCCCCAGTGGAAAGAGGGCTAGAAATTTGTGCCAGACATTTGGTAGGAGTACATTTTGCGGTAATGGCAACTGAACACATAGTGGGATTCAAGGACATAATTCTGCAAACACCACACACACCTTTGAAATTACTTCTTGAAAAAGGAATTCCAGGTGTGTCACATCAGAGATTTTCACGATGGTTAATAGCTCTATCACCAAAGCAAATTAAGGTAGAACATAAGGCAAAGTATGTACTTCCACAACTAATGCAATATGAGGGTAAACCCCATGAATGTTTAGCAGAAGTTGAAGAGAATTTTCTTTCTCTTTTCAGAAAGGAAGCAAGTGAATCTGATGAACCTGTGTTTGTTGACGGGTCCAGATTCTGTTCAGATGGGAAGTACTATACAGGTTATGCTATATGGTATCCAAAACGAGGATATTCAGTAGAGCATAAATTGCCAGGTCATTTGTCAGCACAGAGAGCAGAACTAGAAGCATTAAAAACAGTACTGACACTTGAGGAAAAAGAAGGGCGTCCCCTAGTGATATATAGTGATAGTTCATATGTGGTTAGATCACTAACAGAACATTTAGCTATATGGAAAAGAAGAGGGTTCGTAGATGCCTCAAATAAAGTGTTAGCACACAAAGAGACACTAGAGACCATATTTGGAATTGCGTCTCAAGAGCCATGTTTACATGCTATAGTTAAAGTTCCTGCCCATCAAAAAGGTAAAGATTTACTTAGTGAAGAAAATGAAATAGCTGATAAATTTGCAAAAAGAGCAGCTTTAACTGGTGAAAATGCATTGCAGACAGAACCTATGTCAGTAGCAGTGGTTAGAAAGACTAACACACAGCCTCCATCTTTTGCAGAAGAACAGGCAAAGGATTCGTCCCTTGCGGCTTCTCGGGTTGATCCAAAACCTCCATTTGTTCATGAGAACGGGGTTTTGTGTCATGACCAAAACGGAGAACTGTGTCCGGTCATGCCAGAACATCTAAAAGTGTTATTTACTCAATATAATCATGAAAGTTTAGGTCACATTGGACAGCAGAAATTGTTAGAGGTACTCAGAGATAAGTTTTATTGGGATAACATGGAAAAGACTGTACAACAGGTAGTGCAATCATGTTTGATATGTGCACAAATAAATCCCAGACCTAAAGGACAAAAACCACCTATACAACGTATAGCACCTGCAAATGGTCCTTGGACTACTTTACAAATTGATTTTATTGGGCCATTACCAACAGGTAAGAATGGATTAAAATATGCGTTAGTAGTGGTGGATGTATTCTCTAAATGGTTGGAAGTAATTCCTCTGACTAAAGATGATTCACAAAAAACGGCTGAAGCATTATGGACACACATTTTCTCAAGATGGGGATTTCCTAGACTTCTAGAGTCAGACAGAGGTACCCATTTCACAGGGAAAATCATGCAAGCACTGTGTGCTATTCTAGGCATAGAGCAGAGATTTCATGTTCCATATCATCCTCAATCTGCTGGGATTGTGGAACGTATGAATCGAACATTGAAATCTAGACTTTCAAAAATGTTACTTGAGAAAGGCAACACATGGGTACAGGCACTTCCTGCTGTACTTATGGGTATTAGAGGCACTATGTCTTCAGCTACACAATACACTCCATTTGAATTGATGACAGGTAGGAAAATGCAGTTGAATTTTCCTAATGAACCATATTTGTCTACCCCACAGAAAGATGCAATTGCTAAAAATAAATGGTTGCAAATGCTGCAGGAAAATTTGGAGCAAATTCTTCCACATGCAGCTACTCGTATGTGCAAAATGGCACCTCCTGATTTTTCAAAGTTTTTAAAGGGGGGTATGGTCATGATAAAAACTTTTAGGAAAACTGGACCTTGGGAGGCAAATTGGGAAGGTCCTTATAACATAACAGATACAATGGGACAAACAATGGTACAAGTGCAAAGACCTCTTGATGGTTCACGGAATAAACGGAGGCAAAATTGTTTTTGGGTTCATGCAGATCAGTGCAAATTGTATAAACCTACAACATAATTTGGTAATATATTGATACTGCTTTGTTTTTCTTAGTTTATTTTAGATAATTTGTAAGCAGACCTACAGACGAAAGTTGGCCGGTGACAGACGATGTGTTCGCAAAGACAACCGTGTAGCAGAAAGAAGGTGTTCGTCAGCATCCTGCTAACATTGATGACTACAGTTCTTGTAATAGTTATTTTTAAGATGAACAAAACGACTTTCAATCAGGAATTAAAGAATGACTTATTTGGAAATATTAGAAAAAAGAGAGACAATGAACAAGTATTAAAAGGTCATGTTTGTTTCGGGACAAAAGATGGTTATCTACAAGTATGCAATGTGCGAATTAATTTCACTGGAGATAGTGTTATTAATTTAAACATTACAATAGGTCCTAATGATTTATTTAGTTGGACCAAAGGTTCATTTGTACAAGACAGTGTAAAAACGGGATCATGGGAACTTAACATATTACAAAATGCATATATCATGATTGTAGTTAATGGAGAGGAAATGGTAAATTGGTCAGGTGACATGTATGTGAACGTTGCACAAACTTCAGTAACAACGCGAGGACGAGGTGGTGAGGTACTTTATACAATACAATACTGGCTTATACATTTAGAGCCAGAATTCCTCTTAAAAAACAATACTCCAGGTATACCTTGGATATGGGAAATACGAGCATCTAGGGAATCATTGACAGTAAGAGTTAACATGATGTTTCTGGTAACTGATTATGTTATGCGAGATATTATAATGAAGCCTAGTCTTGTAGATATCCAGGAAGGAAAGGAAAGACTTAGATTAACATGTAGTACACATATAAGTTTACCCCCTGAGTCTGTAATGACATGGAAAAGGGAAGGAATGTTTTTGGGTAGTATGTCACATACAACGCCAAAGGTTATTCACAGAGGTGTACTAGGAAAGGTGGATTGGTCGGAAGAAATGTTTGTTTTCTATTTAGACAATCCTACCTACAGTGATAGTGGAAACTATCAATGTTGTTTAATGTTAAGAAATCATCATGAGAGATGTGGTGATGTTAAGGTAAATGTATTCTCTCCCAGAATGGTAGAATGCAAAAATAAGGTTTTTAAGTTATCAAGTCCCTTTCAATTGAATCATTTTCAATCAAAGCCTTTGTTATTAGATGGGAAATTTGCAACAATAGTTTGGCATTTTAATGTTTCACAGTGGAAAATCTCAAGTAAATTTCCACAATGTAAGGAACATTTATTAAATATGGAACGAGGCTTAGAACATTGGTTTGGAGGAAGTAAAGTATCAAACAGAAAAAAAAGAGATATAGTAGAAGGAATTATGGCTGGATTTGGTACTATAGGAAGTATCACCAATTCTATGGATATTCAAACATTAAAGAATGATTTGGGAACTGTAGGGTTAATAGGGGGAAAAGGATTGCATATTCAAAGAGGTTTAAATCAAATATTGAAAAATATGGTTATGAACACAGCCTCTGTTATTGCACCCTCTGTTCAACATTTACAGGAAGCTACTTTGGCATTAATGAGAAATGCAGATTCATCCCAGGTAGCCAAAGCTTGTTTAGAGATACAAGTTGAATATTCTACAGATGTTAAGGTGATGGCACAAGCATTACAAGGTGGTGTTACTCCTATAGAACTCAAACGTAGTTTACCTGAGGAGTTTGCGTTCGCTAAAAATCATACAGATTTATGGGTTAACAAATGGTTGGGATGTAACAATGATATATGTATAAGTTCTTCTTTAATACCAATTTCTGGTATTGAAAAAACACTATTTTCAATGTCGGTATTAGGAATTCCTATTAGTAACACACAATTATTATTTTATAAATTACAATATCCTGATTTTGTATCTTATAATAACATTACTGAACTTGAGCAGGTAGATCTTTCTAGTTGTCTACATTTTTCATCCAAAATAATATGTTTAAATAACCAAGTTGAAACCATTTATCATTCATGTTTTCATAACCAAAGTTCATGTTCTGGTAAAATTAAAATAGTTAAAAATCCTCATGAAATTGTAACTCCCATAGAAAAAGACAAAGTATGTGTACAGGTTATGTCAAATAATGAGTTAGTAAGAGCTACATTTTCAGAATGTACACATTCAGAAACATTACAGAAAGGGTTATATTGTATCAATGGGGGTCCACTAATAATACATATTCAAGGAACTCAAGTTAACATATCAAAGAGTCCTATACAAGATATAGATATCATGCCTATTCAATTAAATGTTTCACAAACAAATGAGTTTCCATGGAGAAAGTGGGCAGATGAGATTAGGAAAGACAAGATATTATTATATTCATTACAAAAACAGTTGAAAGAAACAGAAATTCAATTTGAACATGAACAGGGTAAATTAAAGGTGATAGAACATGAATGGTCAATTGTTTCTAGTTCCTCTTGGTGGAATGACATAATTAAAAGTACAAACACACTTGCTAAATCACCTGTAGGATCAGCAATTGTAAATATTTTATTTCAACCATTTATTATTGTTGTATGTGTATCTATAATATGTATTGTTTTACAAGTAATTATGCAATGTAGACTTAGAAAACTGTATATACTCTTAAATGAAAAGGTTAAACAGAAGGAGAATACACTAAAGGAAACTGTAAACAGGGTAATACACAATACTTCCAAGGAATCTCAGATACCGGGTAGCTATGAACACATCTCTTCTTATACCCAACGACTGTGATATGAATGATGTATGAATGGACAGGTAAATAACATTTTGTTATGGTTTATAAATAAACCATAAACAGAGGGAAATGTAGAATATTGCATATTCTGTATGTTCCTATTCAAATACATATTAAGGTGTGGCTGTCTAATGGGTTAAACAGAACAGATGGGGTTTGCTATTCTGTAACATGAGGTCTCTGGAATTTGCTGTATAAGAGATCTGAGGCGGTCTTTATATAGGGAACTTCCTTATATGGCAGGGTCTAAACTAAACATTATGACGTAATTTGGGGTATATAGAGTCAAGGACAAAGGATTACAGTCTCTTCCTGCTACAATCCGTTTGCTCTCCTCTCTGATGTCAAGACGACTCTCTGTAACATCGTTAAGAATTAACATCTGTTAAGTATATTATGTTTCCTGTTGAATGTAGAATAAATACTCATTTTTTATAAAGAACGTCAGATTGAGTATTAGTACTTTTCAATAATATAGACATATATTATTGTGGCGAGCATTTGGCCCAAGACGTATATATATCAATCAACTGAAGACAAGAAGAAATATCTATATATATATATATATATATATATATATATATATATATATACATACAAGACTTATTCAACTATAGAAAAACACAGCCAGTTATTACACACTGCATATGTTATATTGTGGTAGACTGCTTTAAATAGCTCACACCTTTAAGATAAACCAGTCTATTTAGCCACATTACTTTTGATAGACAGGTGCCTTCAAAGGCAATATAACAGTGCTATAGATTATTCAATGCTTTCCTATGGGGAAAATATAACACATGAGGGCCTCATGCAGAGCGTGAGGATGTCCAGCGCCCAGTAACAGACTGAAGGTCCATTTCGATTCCGGAAGCGCTCCCAGTGAGCCACTGGGGGCAGACTCAGAGTTGCAATGTAAACACTGCAGTTCTCTGGAACTTCAATGTTTTACATTGCAGCACTAAGTGCAATAGGGTCACAGCACCCAGACCACTTCAATGAGCTGACGTCTGGGTGCCTACAGTGCCCTTTAAGGACATGTTGGGGTGATTCCTCCTCTTTCAGGGTTTAATTTCTCTTTTTTTCCAATACAATGAATTTCACGGTTTAGTTTTAAAATAACATCTATTCTTATCTGACTGTTTTCTTTGAGACTTTTTAATTAATTTGCAACTGACTCTTTTTGCCTGCTAATTGCTTAATATCAAGCCAAATACGATAGACATTAGTTGAAGAGGTTCCGGATACCAATGATAAAAGCTCTGTAGCAGTTAACTGAAATGTAATTTTTGATTGCAACCAACTTTGTCAGCTTGTTAGTCATTTACGTTTAAGTCTTATATAAATTATGGCTACAGTTTGATACATTTTAAGTTATTAATGTTCTAGTATCTTACATAAGTTTTTGATACTATTTGCTACTCCATATAATTTATGTTAAAACAAAGGGCACGCAAATCTATTACCACTTGACTATGAAATTCTCTAATAAAATTTTATTTTTCCAATAATCTCTGCCTGCTTGCTAAATGTTAGGAACCAAGTTCAACATCGTGTTTAGCTAAAGGCACTGATTGGGTGCATTATCCTTGTTTATCCCGTTTGATCTTAATGTTTTTATTATTATTATTGATATTTGTATTGCGCCAACTAATTCCGCAGCGCTTTACAATAAATGAGACAATTACACAGTGACACAGGAACAATAGGTAGATGAGGGCCGTGATCAAACATGCTTTTATCTTAACATTATTTTTAAAAAAATACTCTGTTTGCTAATCTTACCACTCCCCTGTCATGAACGCACCCTACTTCAAGAGTGTGCGTGACGTAGTTGTGGTGGTGAACGGGTTAAAGTTCACGATTTGTCTGCACTAGACCGGAAATAATGACAAAATCCCTGTTAACATCCACCCACATAATAATATAACTATTACTATTTTAACGCTGCCACCACCAAGACAATTTATAAATGGGGTGCCTTGGTCCCCCAGGTAAATAAATAATAAAAACCCACCAAATACAACTTAGCATAATATCTAAGCAATTGCAAAATACTAATTAGTCTCTTCAGGTAGACAAAGGCAGAACTTAATAAAGGAATATTTATTATGAGTAAAAAAATAATCACAGTGCATACAAAAAATAGATGAAAAAACTAATTATTTACACCAACAACAAAGAAAAACAAAAGGGGTAAAATAACAGAAGTTCTAAATACTTACTCACTTAGGTTTTCAAAGTAAAACTTCTGCCCAGGGGGTCTCCGGCAAGGAAGATGGTGACTTACTCAAAATTAGATTTTGGCCCCAAGCAAGGACACAGACACTTCAGTATAATTGGACATATACCCTGTGGATTACATGCCTGGTGTAGAGGTGGAGTTAAGGCATATCTATAGAGATAATGAGTGATTATCCCCTTGTGTTCCAGACAAACCTCAATCCAAAGGGAAACATTTGGTTCTATCTTCTCTTATGTACCTGCCACAGAAGTAATAATTGCATCTACGATTTTGTTATTATTTTCCCATTCTATAGATATGTCGCACAACGTACTTGCGACCCAATATGGCGGACATCACAATTCGTTTACCTATAGTTAAGTTATGCAAATCATCTTTGGGCTTGTTTAGAAGATGACGCTAGTCACATTCCAAATATAACAAAAATGAAGCTTAATTATTATTCTGTGGGAAAATATTAATGTTTTTGGATAGGATACTGGAACCAGGCTAATGGCCATTAACATATCAAAGAGATTGACTCATCAATTAAGAGTTACATGCCATATGCCTGAAGCCAGACTTTCAGGATTTTTAAGTGTAGAATCTCACATCTTTCCAGGCCTTTGATTAATCACAGGATACATACCCATCTTCACCCTCCTACATTTCAGCTGAATTCCTTTCTATAATAGATATACTGTCTTTGTTCTTAGTATAAAACTTCCCCTTTTCTTGATGTTTAGCAACTACTCTAGTCTAAGTGGCAGTTGCTTATTGCTAAGATTATAGACACTGTTGTAGAGTGTCAAATATCTACTTGGCTAATCTTGATATGTTTCTGGAAAAATAAACAATTAATTTGCAACTGCTTTTGTCTGATTGTAAATATTAAGAACCTGGTCTATTATTAGAGAGATATTTTATCGAGTGCTGTTAAACCAATATATTTTCACCAATATACAATTCAATCTCCTATATAAATACTAGGTAAATTGACCAGAACCCATATAAAAGATGGTGAGTTAAGTGTAATTCTCTTGTGTAAACATCTTGCCTCATCATGTATTGACTAAGCCACAAAGGGCGCACACCTGTCATTGTTAACATGTCAGCAATTGACAGGATGAATCACAGAAAAAACCCAAACCCAAACAAGCAAGATTACAGTATGCATTGATCAAATATCCTGCCAAATTAACCCATAACTACCTTATATAAACAATATATATACCAGTAAGTCCCCCTACTCCATTGCAATTACACTCCACTACCTGTGGCCCTGTATGAACAGAAGGCTCACTCCTGATTGACACGGTCCCTCTTATCGTTAACGCCTTAAGGACCAAACTTCTGGAATAAAAGGGAATCATGACATGTCACACATGTCATGTGTCCTTAAGGGGTTAAGGATGGCTCCTTTATAAACAAAGGCCCATCAACACTCCAATAATTGTTACCCCTAAGCCAAAAGGAGATTCATTTTTTATTTATTTTGTTTTAATTCTGATCTAGAGCAATTTCTAAATTACATAGGTAATTCTATAAACCGCCATGACAATTCAGAGCTCATTCAGATCAAAATGGTAACATAGTGAAAATTTACACAGCATTAGCTAAAATTATTTATCATGAAAAAAAATAAAAACATTGTGAATTATTTAATATATTTTTATTAGAAAGTAACTACTGATATGGGCAATGGTCAGCATAAATTAATACATAAACTTACACTGCATGCATGTAAGGTATTCAAAATGTAACAAGAATTCATTATTTCAGCTATATCTTTATCAACACTCCTAAAAATACCACAAATAAGTACCTTAAAAATAAATTAATAGAAAGTTGAATATATTTCAAAAACTATATTTTGTTTTTAAAACATGAATACATATTTACATGAAAAAGATGCATTTTAAAGTTGTATTTTAGAACAAATAAACAAAAAAAATTTAATATTTAAAATATCATATGTACTGTATACAGTTAAAAGTTGAAACATTTAATAACTATTATATACACACTAATAATGTTTTAGTGTGTATAAATAGACACACACCCACATGCCTTGGTTAAAACTATTTTTAAATATTGTGTTATTGTGTTATCATAGAAAATTAAGTGTTTTTAAGACAAATGTGGAAATAGGCAGGAAATGAAAAAGTTATTAATCTGTTCATATACAGCAAATTGATCATTGGATACAGTTACAATTTGTCTGAGCAAAGCTATACTGTCCTTACTTAAATAGACACTGTAGGCTCCCAGTCCAACTCGGTTCATGACATTCGACGTCCTCACACATTGCATGAGGACTCAAACATTCAATCAATAATTCTCACATAGAAGCATTGGATTTAATACTTCTCAATTGGAAGCATTTGATTGAACAAGATGTTGGCAAGATGTCGGCATTCTTACTGACACAAAATGAGGTGGATTGGAGTCTCGTTTGGGTCCCTCTTGAGTATGTCTCTTTTAACCCTTTTGCTGTTTGTGTGTCTCTTAACCCCACCTTATACTACCTCCAAAAATAGTATGGCCTCCCAGGACCACGTTTAAGGATCTCCATTATCCTTTGTATGGTCCGACAGATAGCTGTTTGCATTGGGTAGATATAATGTTCATTCATATACCTTTATTCTCTATATGCTTGAAGCAGCACCAGGTCAGAGGAGGCAGAGGATAATAAAGATCCTCTACTGTGGTACACGCAAGGCCAGGCGAGAGAAGTAATGCTTTATGCACTCCCTCCCATATGTCACAAAGGGTGGACCTATTCCCCATTGCTATGCCACCGACTACAGTTTACAACGTACTTTGCTTTCTTTTGATGCAACGTGTAAAACTGGAATTTCACATGTGCAACTTAACATTATTACAAAGTTTATGGTGTGGACCGTAACCAACGCTATTTCCCAGCCCTGAGCATAGTGATTTTTAAACATCACTGAGACTACAATTCAGCCCCATGAATGAGACATATCCAAGGAGGGATTTTCTTTCTACTCTGACGTGTCAATTTTTGACCAACTTGTTTGTGGCAGCTATCCATTTATAAAGCAGTTCCATTCAAAGTGATTAGTGTAACTTTGAGTGGAGATAAACTACTTATCCAGCAAACTGCTGGACCAGAGTTTATGGATTAAGACCTGTCCTTAAAGACAAAAATGAGAGAGGCTGGAAAACAGTGGAGGGTAGGATTTGTCTGAAATAGTAATCAGCTTCTACAAACAAATGGATAGACCTAAACTGTTCTAGGTTTTTTAATATAATATATTTTCTACATATATAATATAATATATACTAAATTTTACACTAGTACACGCTAAAGCTATTAAAATCACAAAAGCTACATTTACAGTACTATCCTCCTAGACACGCTCAAAAATATTTATATGCTTTATAAAGAAAGTATTTACCAAAATATTCTGTATCCACAGAAATTGTTGTTTTTTTGTTTTTGTTTTTTTTTTATGGACAACATGTCTTATTATTTAAAATAAGCTCAAAACATACTCCCAATATTTAGACTGACAAAAGTCTGCAAAAATGTGACAATTTTTAAATGTAAAAGAGATGTAGTTGGAGTTGTTCCTGACTTCTAGAACATGTTTAGCTCTTTTTGACTTTTATGCTGATAGCATGGCTTCATCGCTTGCAGTGCACACTATGGGTTCGTGTTTGACTTGCCATTAAGAGGGTTAATGCAGCATTTCACATGGTCTGTTTCACCCACTGCCTAGAACTCAAGTGTCCACTCACAGTTCATCATCATCAAATGTTTCTGTACATCTTAGCAGCACTGTCTCATAGTCATACTGCAGAGTGGCATTCTATGCAAGAATAAAAAGTTACATATAAATATTTTTTTCCCGAAACTTGCTCAACAAACATTACATGAAGAAATTAGTGACCAAACTGGAGATATCATACTCCCCAAGACAGTCCCTTCATAAGCTAATGGTAACCATTTATGTACTTCAGTAAGTAATTTATAGAGAGATAATGTGTGTATTATGAATATGCCAAATATCTCTTTTTATTAGTTTATCATCAGCAAGTCAGGAAAATTAATATTTTGGTCCACAACAGCGACCTTTTATCAAGGTATCTGGAGGGACAGTGCCAGTGGACTCCATGCACTATAACCAATTCATTGAGATGTAATGGTTGTAATGGCTACAGTGTCCATTTAGTATCATTACGCAGCATCACTCGACCAGCACTGTAGTCACAGGGCAATTCAAAAGCCGCTAAACTGCACATTTCAGGGAGTTTGATTAGTTGCAAACAGCATTGCTGATATCAGCTGCTTGTGAAATGTGTAATAACTTCCATCTCTATAAATTGCATCCCCAGCATGCATATTTTGACATTTTTTTCTTCCTATATTATTTTTGGATTTGTCTCCAACTCTCCCCCCAAGAAACACATTTTCCACAAATAAGCTGTTCTCTCGCCTCTCTTCTATTATATCCCCCACCATCACCTCCTGTGCTATCTTTTCATCTTTGTTTTGTGCTTGATACCATGCTGCCATCTGTCAGTCACTTTGATACTGCAACAGATGAAACGAATACTATACTATAATACGATTAGGAGTGTCTAAAGTAGATTTTTAAAAACACTTAACGGGTTTTGCCAAATCACAGGTTTTCACTTTTGAGAAAGCCTGTGATTTGGCCAAACATGTTAAGTGTATTTTTACATTTTATGTAATAAAAAGAGTATACTTTTTATCCACTTGCGACCCTCCTAATTGCTTTTAGAAGATTTTTTCCAAGAGGACTCCAGAAATATCCCTGGTGGGGATTATACCACCTATGCTATTTGGATTGAGCTAAACCAATTTTGCTCTCCTTTTGTGAGTACCCCTCTTTTTAATTTGTTTTAATACTGCTTTTTTTTTTTTTTTATCAGTGAGCACTATTGGTTGTTTTTATATTCATTTTATGCCACATCTGCATCGGTGAGTTTCTACTCCCATACAGCACACCTGGATCCTGATACACTTCCCGGAAAATTGTTGCTGCACCAGTATATCCACAGGTGGGAATCATACCGCCCAAGTGCTACTAATTGGAGCTGATAAGAAGCTCCAAAAAACTGTTAGTGTATTTCTATATTTTTTTCACCAAGCATAAGTACCGTATTTATCGGCGTATAACACGCACTTTTTCTCCCTGAAAATAGGGGAGAAATTGTGGGTGCGTGTTATATGCCGGCCCTTTAAATACTGCAGCCGCCTGAGCGCTCTGTCAAGAGCGCTCAGGCGGCTGCAGTTGGTACTCACCTCCCCTGTAGCACGGCCCCAGCCGGCCTCAAGCATCCCATGTGTGGCCGGTCGAGTGATAGGAAGGTGCACGCTCAGTGCACCTTCCCGCTCAGTCCGAATCGTGGGTACAGGGAAAACAGAAAAACCCTGTTCCGCTGCTGAACAGGAGTTCTGTCTCCTTGCACCCGCCTGGATCTGACAGGAAGGTGCACACCGAGCTTGCACCTTCCTATCACCCGGCCACCGCGGGACAGCAGCAAGCAGAGCCGCCTGGCCACAGGAGGGGCAAGAAGGGGTGAATAGAGGGAGGGGGTAAGAAGAGGAGGGGGGAGTAAGAAGGGGAGTCGGGAGTAAGAGGGGGGAAGGGATTAAAGAAAGGGGGGAGGAGGGTAAGAAGGGGAGGGGAGTAAGAAAGGGGCAAGAAGAGGGGGGAGTAAGAAAGGCAAGCAGTGGGGAGGCCAAGAAGAGTGGGGAGGGGAGTAAGAAAGGGGGGTACAAGAGGGGTGAGCAAGGAGGGGAGTAAGAAGGCAAGAGGGGGAGGGGGAGTAAGAGGCAAGAAGAGGGGAGGGGGGAGTAAAAAGGGGGGTGCAAGAAGAGGGGAGGGGGGGAGTAAGGGAGGGGGAGGGGAGTAAGAAGTGGGTAAGAGGGGAGGGGAAGTAAGAAGAGGGGTAGGGGGGAGTAAGAAAGGGGGTAAGAAGAGGGGAGAAAAGGGGGAGCAAGGAGGGGGAGCAAGAAGGAGGTAAGAGGGGAGGGGAGGTGAAAGGGGGGTAAGCAGAGGGGGGAGGGGGGAGGCAGGCGGGGGTGGGCAAGAGGGGAGGGGAGAGAAGTGGAGGGGAGGCAAGGGTAAGAGGGGGAAGTAAGAAGAGGGGGAGGGGGGAGGAAAGGGGGGTAAGAAGAGAGGGGGAGTAAGAAGGGGTAAGAGGGGGAAGGGGAAGTAAGAAGAGAGGGGAGTAAGAAAGGGGGGTAAGAAGTTCTTTATTTGAAATGACCACTCTAGGCACCCAGACCACTTCAGCTTTATGAAGTGGTCTGGGTGCCAGGTCCCTCTAGGATTAACCCTTTTTTTTAATAAACATAGCAGTTTCAGAGAAACTGTTATGTTTATACTGAGGGTTAATCCAGCCTCCAGAGCCTCTAGTGGCTGTCTCATTGACAGCCGCTAGAGGCGCTTGCGTGCTTCTCACTGTGAAAATCACAGTGAGAGCACGCAAGCGTCCATAGGAAAGCTGAATGCGCGCGCGGCTCCTGCCGATGACATCGCGAGCAAGGAGGAGAGGAGGAGTACAGCTCGCCGCCCGGCGCTGGAGAAAGGTAAGTGTTTAACCCCTTCCTCTCTCCAGAGCCCGGCGGGAGGGGTCTCAGGGCACTATAGTGCCAGGAAAACGAGTCCTTTAAGTTTTTTTTCCCTGAAATTTCCTTCTTAAAATGAGGTGCGTGTTATACGCCGGTGCGTGTTATACGCCGATAAATACGGTACCTATTAAACTATATAATGTCTCCTGCGCTTTTACATGCACTGAGCATCATCTGGATCAGAAGACACTCACAAGGCACTGCGACCCTCTTTCTTCATCTTGCATCTTAACTACTACAGAAAGAAGAGACTCTGGCTTGTATTGTCCTAGCTGCCTAATAACATTATCGGAAGCACTAGAAATTATTTTTTTATTTATTATATTTGGAATCGCCTGGGCACAGCAGACATCATAATCACTATAGTGTGCTGAAATAGTTATGGAACTTGTAGTGTTGCTTAAAATAATTTTTAAAGTTCAGTATGATCATTTGTTCAATTCAGTTTTCATAGAATGCAAAAAGGGTAGCAAAATTAGCCTGTTTTCCTCTTGTGTAACTATTGTCCATTCTAGAGGTAGCTGGGGGAGTGAGAACTAGGTCATAGATCCAGACGGATCCATCTGACAGTTGGTAGGTATGCAGTCACAACAAGTATAGCTGACTAATCAAGGAGATAATTGTTTGAGGGTTATCAGTCTGACTTCATAAAAAGAGAGTTTCAAAAAACTTTTTCTTTCATTTTACCACTGTTTTTTTGAGTGTGAGGCAACAGACACATTTTGTTTCTTAAGTACCTATTGATTGAGAGGAATATTAAACATTGTATTTTACCTTGTTATCCGCATGGAAATGAGAGTGCAGAAAGCTAGTGATCTGATCATAGAGCAGAGAATCATTTTCTGGACTTCCCCAGGAAGAACATTCATACGTAGAGCTTCAGAAAGACAATTAATGTTTTAATGTTCTGGAGGCTACCAGGGTCCTATATGGGACCAACGTTTGGATATTAATTTAGTTACTAAATACCAAATTGTAGTGCATTGAAAAACAACAAAAATTAGGCGAATTTAGAAGACAAGATAAATAAACCAACTTGTCTTTTGTCCCAGCTTGTCTTAATTTTGCAATTTGGTTATCAAGTGATTACAGTACATTGCTTATCAAATAAATGTTTGAGCAAGTCATTCACTTACTTATTCTGAGACCTCTTACACAAAAATAAACTGTGAATTATTACTGTAAGTATGAAGTTGGGTGAAGCAGTTTTAACAGAGCTTAGACTCAAAAATGAATGTTTCACAAAAAAATGAATTAATATTTATAGGTTTTATATCCGTAATATAGATAATATTAGTACTTCATAATATTAAAAAAAAAAATTGTAGTGGTTATACTAATAACAAATGGCTTACCAAACCATGATATATTTATTACACAACCCAAAAACACTTGGAATGTTACATTAGGCCATGCTCCATGAACACGCATTTTTTAAGTGTACCAGGTTAACAGCAGATAACAGACATCTCATTCTATTCAGTGAAGCAGCTTTCTGTTCTCATTTTGTCAAGGGAAGCTGCTTTCTGTTCGCACATGCACAATTTTACATCTCTTGAACCCCCACTTGAACCCTGTGATGTTTGCCAATATTTTATGAAACCATAACTTTTAAACATGTTTTCTT